TTTTGAATTTCACTCCCCTCGCTCCCTTATTTTCATTATTATTATTGTGTTTTTTGTGCTGCTACTAATTTGTTTTGGCTCTGCATCTTTTTGTTGCCTATTTTCTAATTTGAGGCTACAACCACCCGAAACTCGATGGACAGAGTTTCCACCACCCCTAATCACACCCCGACCCTCCCTTCGTTCTGGTTGTGTGTAGTGTAGTGTTTGCCTTTCGGTTTACTCAAGTGTCGGCTCGAAAGCCTGTCCCATAAATTGGTTCGTCGTCATTGTCGAGCACACTCTTCGGCCACTTCGGTAGCTCACGCAGCCAGATATAGTGGTACACTGCAAGAAACGGGCTCTAGGATCCAACAAGGCAGCGTTATGGTTTTATGAGACCAATTTTTGGGCATTCATCAAAAGAAGTATTTTCTGAGAAAACCTTTTTGTGATAGTTGCTATAAAATCGTTTCTTTCCATTGTATCTTAGAAGTATACAATTTTTACGAAATTAGTGTTATTTCGTTTAGCTTTCGTTTGGATGTTATAACAACGAAAAATTAAAAGTACATTTTATTTTGAGGACAAACTGATATAAAATGCAATCGAAACTTCAAAAGGTCAGATAAATATTTATTAAATGTGAGTACCGCAGGGTTTCATATTCACTATTTTCTTTAAAGATTTTAATTGAATATTGTTGCGAATTTAAGGTCGCTAAAATAACCAAGCTCGAGCTCGAGTCAGATATAACACAAATGGTTTTTAAATAGTTTTGTTACGTACTTCTGCACTGTTAAATAAAAGGTTAAAGGACAATTGAAATAATTTTTCAGGCTTTTTCCAAGATATTCAGTAAGATATATCATTTTTCTCCATGTAAATGAAGCATATAAGCCGAAACCCGGCCAACCCAGCCGAAGAACTGAGCATATAGCCCAACCCCTGTCAGCGAGCATCCTCACTCTCGAGTGTTCTCAAATGATAAATCATTTTTCCCGTCGCTCACACAAATGATGATCGAGTATTTTCAACTTCAGTTCGTCTGTTACTTTTTTGCTGTGTGGAAATTAGTGCAGATAATCCGTAAAGCCGTTAGTCTGAGGCGTAATTTTCTGTATCATTTTGTTTATATGGAGTCCAATTAACGAGGCATTAAAAATAAAAGTAAAATAGCCACTAAAGTTGATTATAAAATATTATATTAACAAATATGTATCATCTGTGCATATGAAATTATTTTTGATTTTATTTTATATACATGTCATGATCTGGAATTATATTTACTACATTTGCTAAAATTTGTACTAAGCGGAAAGTTCAACTTAAACATCAATATATAAAAAAGAGAAACTTTTTGGTATTAAGAAACACTATTTTTGAGTTTGAGTTAATTAATTCGCGAAAACTTTTACTAATTAACTTTGCAGCCTAAGGACTCATTTATCGAAGACACCAACCAACCGCAAAACAAGGATTCGTTGATTGGCTTTGTGCAAAATTAGCCATAAACGCCACAGTGGCGCCATCTGTGGGCAACGGCTAGCAGATTCGTCTTTTCCCAAAGTCAGAAATTAATTTTCTCACGTTACCCAAGCGAAATAAACAATTAAATAATTGAAAACTAAACTCGAAATCAGCAGCACAAACAATAATACAGAGCCACAGAAATAGCAGACACAATAACAATAATAAATAATAGTAATATGATAATGACGATTATAATTCACGGCTAATACCAAATGCCACCACTTGTACGGTAAATGCAATTAGTATGCCCTATAAAATATTTGGGGGTATCGATTTGATGTAGGCTTTACTGTACTTATTTACAATATACAATGTAAAGTTTACTAATTTAATTGTGTTAATAAATTCCTGTCGGACTAAGAAATAAATATTTTAATTTAGTTTTATTTGGTTTGAGTGCATTTATAAATTAAAATTCCAACAGTGATATTACAAAAAATCTTTAAGACTTTTTTCTTTTATCTTTTGGTAGTAAACAAAACAAATATTTACAATTTATATTTTTACATGATTTAAAAAATTGTATCTGATTTTTAAGAGTATCTAAACCTCACCAAAGAGGCAAACTAAAAACATTTGCTTCAAAATTTTTCCCTGCCTTTCGAGCCATTATCGTTGTTATTATGCCATTGTGGTGCAATTAAAGTTTCAACTAATCACACGGCAACAATTGTGTGACAATAATATTGTCTAAAGCCCCTTCAAAACACCCCCGTTCCCCGTGAAGATTTACCGAGATTTGTTCACACTTAACAACTTAATTACACAACAATGTGCTTGTTGTTATTTATTCCATTCGATTTATTATTATTTATAACTATTTTTTCGACTTTTTGGCAAGCCTTATAGCGCTTGTCAGTTGGCCATCACTTGAGAAATAATCGAGAAACTCGCTGGGGAAGCCTACATAAAAAGTAACTGAACTTTAATTGTTCATAATTAAGTTTGTCCAATTCCGATTGTATATTGTGTATTGTGTGTGTGCCAAGACAATAATAGTTAAGTAAATAAATCTCGACACATAATTGACAGTCGATTTTGGTCAACTTTCGCACTTGAGAGCATAATTGAATCATTTGGCGGGCCACGTCAACTACCTGAAATGTGAAGAGCAACTCAAGAGATGGAACGGGGCACCCGGTATCCAAATATTCAAATATTCAAATATATATGTACACGAATATATGGCCAGACTATCCCCAGGTAGTCGGGTTGTCAGTCCTTCGTTGGCACGTCAAAATATTTGCAAAACAAAAGCACAAAGGTCTGAGCTTCTGGGAACTCGAAGGACACGCCAAAGGACCCAATAAAAAAATAAGAAATCGCCAACATTGAACAGTAGCCAATGGCTGCCAGGTGGAAACTAGTTCTCCTCGAACCGAGAAAAACTACATCTCCGCTATCGGATTACCCATAATCATCGGCGAAATTCAATATTTATTTTGACAGGATCCCGGCGATTGTAATTGCAAGTTAATTAACAATCAAATTCCAGTAAATAAACGAGAGTTTGCTTTAAGAACTCGCTTTAGAACCTGGATGAATCATCCGGGGGCAACCTGCTCTAAAAAAATATCGGATTACCCTGCGAAATTCTTCTAATACGCACTGTCTCTTTCTTTTGGTTGTATTCCCTCTCTTTCATTCTTCAGATGCCAGACTGCGTGGCCCGATGGATACGATCCATACCAAAGCGTACCGTTTCGATCCGCTCCGATTTTTGGCCGTGTGAGCGTTGGCATTTCCATTGTCTAATTGCCGCGTGGGTTTCTCCATGGGGAGAGTTCACTGTGGGGGCGTGAGAATAGCCCCGAAAGACCCGTTGCACGCTTATTGGGGAGCTTTTGATGCCACCGATCTTGGCCTTCCAATGTTTGGCGTCTTTATAGTCAACTGGTCAATTTCCTTGAAGTTAGTTTTACTTTTGTAAAGATATTTATTTGTTTTTTCAATAAATAAATAATAATAAATAAATAAATTATTGGAAAATTAGCAAAGACTCAATCGGCATAGAAGTTACTTGAATTTCTTGCACAAACTCTATTTTCCCCCCAAATTGCCGAACCATGTGGTAATTCCAACTGAAGAGATCGACTGCCCGAGAACCGAAAATTTCAGCACAATTGCCCCATGGGAGGCCGACTTTCCTGGGAACAATAACCCACATACCGGCCCGAAAATCTCTCGCAATCCTGCTAAACTGCGCAGCAAGGACTCTCCCACACTCGCACACACACACACACACGCGCATGGCCTCGTGTAAATGCTAATTTACGCATTTTAATAGTACAAGTTTTTGGCGAAAATTTTAATTAGACCTTCTTTTTTTTGGGCATTGTTGGGCGGTCGACAATTCGGGCCGACAAGTGAGTAGTTTTACCACTGCCAACGGAAAGGTTGCTCGTTTTTGTTCCATAAATTGGCGTCCTTCATTGAACGGAGTGGAGTTCGAGTTCCGAGTTCGAGTTCGGGCCTTCGATATCTTTTTGTAAACTTTTTTGACTGCCCCTTCTGCGCTCGCCCTCTCTCTGTTGCTCTCTCTCACTCACACAAAATGGGTGCCGCACACTCTGGCAATACGGCACTAATACCACGATATGGCGCTTACCAACACACCTAAGGTCGGGCCGAAACTGGAAGTTTAAGGGAAAACTGGAAGGTTTTGTGTGTGTGAGAAGAGCACAGCTAGCTGCTGCTTGGAAGACCAGTGCTGCTCTCCTCGCTCTCACGCAGAATGGATGTTGCACATGCGCCATGTTGCCGAGGGGAAGTCCCGCATGTCGCCGACTCTTTCGCACTCGCTGGGGAGGGAGGAGTGCGGCTAGCGTGCGACAGAGACCGCCCCTGAATATTTACCGTTGCCAGGCAGCGCAGTCGGCGTCGGCGGCGCTGCCAGCGTGCTGCTGCTGTTGCTGTTGCTGCTGCAGATGTTGCTGCTGCGTTTGCCATGATTTGAGGTCCTCGGAAGAGCAAAGCTCCGCTGGCCGTTTACAGTTTGTTAGCTGAATGCCTCCTTGGCCAAATCCAAAGCGAAATGCAAAGCCAAGTCGAAAGCCAACCACCAGCAGCAACATCACGGCAGCAACACCACGGCAGCAACAGCACGACAGCAACTGCGACGACAAAACTCCTGGTGCACATTAACGCAGGCAACAGTTTAACGTGGAAATTATTGCGAATTTGTTGTGTGTTTTTCTGCGACGCGTGCCAGTCGCAATATCGCACATTGCATATCGCGTGCAGGGCAGCCACATTGCAGCATTGCAAAGTTTACTCTTCATTTTTTTTTTTAAGCAGTACCATGTTTTCTTGTTGACAACAGGCACATCTAGTTATAGATTCAAAAGATACCCGGTACAATACCGCTTATCGCGTACACAGCAGCAGCACGTTGTCTGTGCCTTTTTTTTTTGGGCGTACCATGGTTTTTTTTTTGTTTTTTGACAGCATCCATATCTAGTCGTAGACTTAAATATTAGCAATTTAAAATGCCGCAGCGTTCGCCTTTTGCCATTCAAGAGCTGCTGGGCTTGGCGGTGGCAGCGGCCACAGAAACGCCGACCGATTTGTCGACAACAACGACAGCTGTTGCCGGTGCAACATTGGCAAAAGAGCGCCAAACGCCGACACCGCCAAAGACAACAAATGCCATAATGGCAGCAGGAACTCTAGCAACAACAGTAGCAACAGCAACAGCAACAGCAACACCCAGCACATCAGCAACATCGTACGGCAGTGGGGCGGCAGCAACAGCAACAGCAACTAATGCGACTGAGGGCAATTTAACAGCCGCTTTGGAGCCACAGCAGCAGCAGCACCACCAGCAGCACCACCCACTACGGGAGCACCACCAAATGACCATGGCGGCTGCCTCGCGAATGGCCTACTTCAATGCCCATGCGGCGGTGGCCGCGGCCTTTATGCCCCACCAACTGGCCGCGGCGGTGCAGCACCATCACCAGCATCAGCACCACCCGCACCACCATCCGCACCACCCACACGGGGCAGCTGGGGGGCCGCCTCCGCCGCCGATGCAGCACCACCACCCGCACCATCCTCACCACCCACTGCTGCATGCGCAGGGTAAGCCACCGTCCCCAACAATGAACCAATGAACCCACCCAAACACACCGAAAAAAATTCGTTCGGAATGAAATTGAAATTCGCAGCTTAAATATAAACCAACATTGTTCATATTATATATATTTTCTGAGTAAATAATTTATAATAGATATTTGTTTTACCGCTTAGTCCCATTTATTATTTCTGTGTCTCAGACCGACTTCAAAATAATTTTGCCATCTAGCTTAATAACCATTTAAAAAAAATCACTAACCTTAATTCTGTGAAAAAATTATATTTCTCAAATTTTTATTCTTGTTATTTAACATATCAAAATATATCTTATTGTGAGATATTAAAAGGTGTTATTTTTTTATTGTGCTATAATCAGGCGAATAATATTTAATCCGCTGCTAGCTTTCATATTTCTGTTGTTGATTTCAAACGTACCTTATGATTTTTAAAATATATAACAAAAAAAGGGTTTCTTGCTGTGCACATTCACAATGACAATCAAAGTTTAAACGCAATTAGCAATCGCAACTGGTTTTGTCACCTGCCAGACAAACCAACACAGGCACACGAGTGTATATGCAGTCGATTCGCACACATACAGTGGGGCGAATCGGTGTCTGAAGTGCCGCTTAGTTGGCATTAAAAAGGAATTAATCAACGAGCCATCGTTCAGGCAAATCAGCTTTGGCCCCACTACAAACACCCCCCGGCCCCCCACCACTCCCCTTGCAAGCACCGCCCCCACCCACCACTCAAGTTGAGCTGCTAATTGCAAAATGTGTGTGTGCGAGTGAGAGGGCAAGGGCGGTGCGAAGTGGTGCAGTTCGATTTCACACCACATGGAGTCGATCCACCGTCCATGGAAAAATTCTAGGCATAAAATAGTTTGAGTTGAGCCCGCATTAATCAAGAGTATCGCCACTTGGTTTTAAATAACTCTTTATATTTAGTTTAGTTTAATTTAGACAATATTATAGCATTAGTTTTCTTAGTTTAGTGATACATATATTCGTATGCCTGCTACTCATAGAGTAGTGATATCTGAATAAGTTTGGATATATTTTCAGTGACTTGGTGTCACTGTAAATGCGTCTTTGTTTGTGTGATCACGCACACTGCGCGAAAAAACCCACAACCTCAAAGCGAACTTGAGTCGACTGGCTGTCTCTCGACTTAAGGCTTATTTGCAAGTGGCAATATCACCCAAAGTCTGAGCGATGACAGCGAACGGAGATAAACAAAAAGTCACGGAAAATATATTTCCATACAGAGAGTACTACACTTAAAGAAGTGACAAAGTAAATTTGGATTGGAAATTTGGAAACAATCACATAATTAACAATTTGGATTAGTCTCATAACTTGATAAAATCCCAAAGTTATTTAATTTGTTTAAAATATATTTTTCTTGACTATCATAAAAGCATCTACTTTTTTTTCATGGCTACTTTTTTTCGAGTGAAAGGATCGAGGGCCTCCGATCGTCTTGCAGATTCAAGTGGCAGTTGTTATTATTATTTTAATTAGCGTTGAAATATCATCGTCATCTCCGATCGTCGACTTCCATTGCTCTGCACTGATTCACTGTGCCAATTTCACTTCGCACTCGACGTACACACATCGAATTTGATTTTTCGACTCGGAATTCGCTTCCGGACCCTTTTCTGGGTTTTATTTTTTTAGCAAGTTGCACGGCTTTCTTTTCCGCTGTGGCTCCATCCACTTGGTGTTTCTGCTTTATTTTAATTTCAATACTTGTTTTCGTTTATCGCATATTTCCCCAGCTTCGTCGCAATTTGTGTTTAATAAATGTGAGAAAGAACGTTGTGCCTGGCACTAAATTATCATGGGGAATATTGGGCTGGGGATTGGCATAATATTTTAAACTATTTTTAATTGTCATAGGCTTCTTGATTTATCATTATTATGGTATTAGCTTGCATTTTAAATATTAAATTCAACAAATTGCATTTCGTTTCTAATGTTTCCAAGTGTTTTTGATGAGGCGTGTGAAAGAAGTAAGATATGTGTATGGTTAGAAATGTTATATATAAAAAAAAAATACGCTAATTTTTATTAAATTGCTAACAAACTCTGAGTGACTAATTAAACAGCATTAGGGTATGTCACCGTCGAGCTTTCGATTTCCCTTTGGATTCTTGGTGCTTAGTTCTGTTATGGTTACTGGAGCTGTTGCTTTTTGCTTTTCATTCGCGTCATCGTATTTAATTTTGCATATTGTCGACTCGTTCTGCTCTTGATGTCGTGTACATATTTCGGATTTCTGTTGTTGATTTTATACCCATTTGCGTAGCCAGTTCGTCAATTAAAAAATCGCATCGAGTTCGGTCGGATTTCGGGCGGATTTCCTGTCCAGAGTTGTGTATTTGGCGCCTTCCATTAAGTGCCTTTGATCTTTTACCAAAACGGAAAACCAAATCGGAAAATTGGTTGCCCAACAACAATGAGGAAAAGCGGGGGGGAAAAAACAAGCGAAAACGATTTTTCTTCGCCTTTTCCCCACATTTAATTGACAATTTTCACTTTGGCTCCTCGCGTCGCTTTGTTGTGACAGTCGTTTTGATGTGTTTGCACACCGACAAACAAACACCAGCAAACACCCGCAAACACACACCCCCCGCACACCCCCCGTTCTTGATCCTGTATTTGTGCACTTGTCGAGAGGGCTTGTTGTTGCAAATATTTCGGCAAATTACTTGAGCCTCGGAATTAACCATTTAAGATTTTCTACATTTCTGGTCGGGACGCCAATGTTGTGTACAGAAAATAATTTAAATAAATTGCGAACAAGAGTTTTTGGTTTAAAGCTTTTGAAAAGAAATGTAAGTTCAAAATTCTTAGCACAAAATATGGGTAAATAAAGACTTTTTATACCCTTGCAGAGGGTATTATAATTTTGGTCAAAAAATGTGCAACGCAGTGAAGGATTTTATTGAAGGGTTTTATTTTTGGCCAATTAATCCGACCTCCCAAATTTCATAGGCACCTAATTTTTAGAAGTTTTAAATTGTCTAATTCGGTTGCTAATAGCTTTGTTATTTATTTTCTACAATTGATTTTGTATATTTTTTTAAGAGCAAGTACAATAGGCAGTATGTGTTTGCTTTTGGCCATTGCGGGAAGTGTTGCAACCAATGATTCCAGAGCTGCTAATTGCTGCCTGTCAGTCGCCCGAAAACTCTACCCATCTGCATCGATATATCCCAGCATCCCGCCCTTTGATATTTGAGCCACTTTGCTAATAGCCTGCCCCACTATATATATATATATTTATATATACTCTTGTCTCCTTGGCTGATAAAAATATTCTTAATTGTAGTTTCGCCTCGGACAATGTGTGCGGTCGTCTTTTGACTTTGCTTTGATTTTGCGTTGACGTAAATTAGAAAAAAGAACGGGTGAGAAATGTGGGAGAAATACGGAAAAATGCGGCTGAGGAAAAAGTGTCGACAAACGCCCTTCGTTTTTTGAGTGAGCGGACGACCGGTCGAGTGTGCCCCACCCCGCCCACTTTTCCAGCCCCCTCCCCGCTCCTCGACCCCTTTGCCCACCCCCAAAATTTCTGTATTGTCTGAGGTGTGAAAAAGTTCGGCGTCAGCGTTTCACGAGTGCAGTTATTGTTTCAGTTGTTGTTGCTGCACTTTAACACCACCCCTCCACCACCCCTCTCTCCACCCCTCTTATAAAATTTTACATTCTTTTCGTTTTTTTTTGGCACTTTGTCACACTTTTTCGCTTTGATTTTTTGCGAATTTAAAAGTCAATTAAAGCAACTTGACGAACGAAGTGCCGAGTGCCACTCAAGGGTTAATTTGTCCGTGCCAGTGTGTGTGTGTGTGTGAGTGTGAGTGTGGGGGTGAGACTGCGTCTGTATGGGTGTGGGTGTGGGTGTGGATGCCAGTTGACTCAGAGTAATTCGCATGAAGCTGAATTAGCCGCAATAATTTCAAATTTTTTCGAACGGAACGCAACGCAATTCATTCACGATAATCACTCATTACAATAATAATAAAAGCAATAAATATTTCTATATATACACTCACATACAGTACGACCTGCATAATTCAATCTTTCGTAAAATACATTTTTAGTAACTCAGCAAAGATTGGATGAATTTTAAAGAGTTTTCTATTTTATCTATTTCCTATTTATTTATATTTCTAAAAATATGGTTACGCAATAAATACACATGTCCTCAAATCTATTTGAATGGGTTCACTGTAAGCTAGTTTCCCCGTATATTCGCATTCGTATTCATGTATTCATAAGCTGGATTTTGTGCCCCGTCACATGGCAATCAGAGCCGGGCAATTCGTGCCCCAAAAGCTCTACTCACTTTGACTGCACACCCAGCGATTTCCAGGGGCGCCGTTAGGGGGCCTTGTGGCACATAAGCCCCCACGGAGAACGCCCCTGTACTGCGCTAATTTTATAACGCAAATAAACACGATTTGGCACTTGAGTTTGCTTCTTCAGCGGCTCGAAAGTGGGATTTCGGTACGGATTTGGATTTGAATTTGGAATTTGGAGCTTGGAGTTTGGAGTTGGCTTTCACTGTCCAACGGCAGCAGCAACATCGGCCACAGCAGCAACACCAAGAGCAACGACAACAGCAACATCAACACCAACAATCAACAACTACCACTGCTAATTATTCATGGCATGGCCATCTATCTGGCTATTTGGAGTGGCTACTCAGCACTTTTTCGACTGGAAATTGTTTCAATTATGGACACGACGTGATTCACCTGGTCGGACGACTGAATTCACGCTAAATGCCAGCCAAATGATAGTTGGACGCTGCTATTCACTTGCTTTTCATCTGGTCAAGTCACTGGGTTAATAGCCCTTTCAAAATTAGCAGAAAAGTCTGTCCAAATTTCAGAAAAATGGGTTTGCAGAAAAGTGCCAAAAACTGCACTTCCAAGCTCATAACTTTTCTTACAGACATCCGATTTCGAAGTGGCATACCTCAAAATGATTGTGGTTTAATTCTCTAAAAATCTGTGTTTTTACTTTACTTTTTTTTTTTTGGTCGATTTTTCGTCATTTTCAATGATGTTACCCCTTTCCAAATTTACGAAAAATAGGTTTGCAGAAAAGTGACCAAAAACTGCACTTCCAAGCTCATAACTTTTCCTGTAGACATCCGATTTCAAAGTGACATCCCTCAAAATAATTGTGGTTTAATTCTCTAAAGATCTGTGTTTTTACTTTCCTTTTTTTTTTTTTGGTCGATTTTTTGTCATTTTCAATGATGTTACCTTTTTTCCAAATTTACGAAAAAAGGTTTGCAGAAAAGAGCCAATAAACTGCACTTCTAAGCTCATAACTTTTCCTGTAGACATCCGATTTCAAAGTGGCATACCTCAAAATAATTGTGGTTTAATTCTCTAAAGATCTGTGTTTTTACTTTCCTTTTTTTTTTTTGGTCGATTTTTCGTCATTTTTAATGATGTTACCCCTTTCCAAATTTACGAAAAATAGGTTTGCAGAAAAGTGTTAAAAAACTGCACTTCCAAGTTCATAACTTTTCTTACAGACGTCCGATTTCAAAGTGGCATACCTCAAAATGATTGTGGTTTAATTCTCTGAAAATCTGTGTTTTTACTTTACTTTTTTTTTTTTGGTCGATTTATCGTCATTTTCAATGATGTTTCCAAATTTATGAAAAATGGGTTTTAAATGAACTTCCTTGATTTTCACTTCCAAAGCCCGAGCCATCGGCATATAAGCTCGGAGTTGGACCCGAAGCGGCTACTTTGCATGAGCTCCGGCGGTTGGCAGTGGATTGCGGCGGATGTCCACGACCCCCACGCTCCACGATCGCCTTGTGGGGCCTTTTACCCCCGACTCCTCGGTATTTTCCCATATTTTTCCCTTATTTACCCCAAGTTCGCCGAACGTTCCCTTCCGCTAAGCGACCCATATCAGCTATTGTCGAGCGTTAATCAGTTTATAATTACTTCGTCACTTGCAGTTTTTCTTTTTCTTTTTTTTTTGTTTCAACCATTCTTTAGAGCAGTTTCGCGCACTACTTTCGTAATATCAAATTTCATCGGCAATCGGAATTCCTGGTAGAGAGCTAATAAATGCGGTTTGATTGTCGACATAATCATCATCATCGTTATTATTGTTGGCATATGTCGAGGTCTCATTGTGTTCTCGAAATGCGTCACCGTGAAACAATTGAGGGAAATGCCAGTTTGCGTCCCAGTTTCAGTTCCATTTGCAGTTCCAAGTTCCCAATCCCGATGCCGATTCCCCTTTAGAGCCCCGAAACAAAGCCAAAACCGAGAACCAAACTAAAGCGAACTCGAACGAGACGAACGCCTTGAAACAATGAAACATCGACCAGAAATTAGCGCGGTTGTCTGTCAAATTTGATTTTGCTTTGATATGTCACTCGCCGAGCACGGTGAGTGGGGAGGGGGGACGGACTGGGGCGCTGAGGGGTTAACAGGGCGAGGAAGGGGTTAAGACTGCAAGGAGAGCTTGTCTCGATTTCGACATCGAGGTCGCCGATTTGCATTTCTGAGTGTTGGCAATGCAGAGAGAAAAGTTAGTCAGTACATGATTCTTTACTCATTTTAGTCTATTAAAACCTAATCTTAGTAATCTTTAATTTTATTTAAACATAAGGTCAAAAGTGCATTTTTTTGATTTATAAACATTATTTAAATAGGTGAAAAGATTAAAAACGATTTCTATATTCTATGTTTCATGCTTGTTATTAATAATCTCAAGTTTAAAATAATCATTAAATGGTAATTTTCTTAAGAACTTTTATTAATAACATTATTTAATCAACTTATAATTTGTTGATCTTGGCTTGTGTTTTATTCAAGAATTACTTTCTGTGTATTATCGCAAACATGAGTATCTGCCATGAGCATGCAATGTTCGCCTTCTCAATTCTTTGGAGTGTGGGGTGTTTATTCGGAGGCCCCTTGTCTGGCTAATAAATGCAAAAAGTACAGTGTATATTCGCTTTGAAAGACAAAAGTAAAAAAGTAAGCGTGTGCAATATTATGAAAGGAACAAAAGCCTGACACTTTTGAAAACTTAGGACTAATTGAAATTGAAGTGTTACTTATAAAATGTTTATAAAATTAACACATTCTACATTTTTTAATAAGGTAATAATAATAGTAAGCTAAATTTGTATATTTTTATTTGAACAAGCTTAGTCTTCCACATAAAGTATCCTATTTTCATTTGTTATCCTCTCTTATTTTCAGGATTTCCGCAGTTGAAAAGCTTTGCCGCAGGAGCCGGAACTTGTTTGCCCGGTAAGTACACTCGCTCAATTGCAATTCAAAGGATAATCAAATTAAGAGGAAGCCTAAAGGTAGGCCATATATCCTAAACTCCTCAGACTGCAATCCCTTTTGCAATCCTTTAACAGGAGCCAAAAAGCTGAATATCCTTCGACCAACAGAGGGCGCCAACTCCGCGTCCTGGCCTAATTAATGGGCATTCCTGCGCTTCATTTCGAGGCCTGTGTCCCGCCTCCTGCAGGTCTTGTGGCGGGGGCGTGGCCAAGGGCAAAGGGTGAAGCGTACATTACACATGTCGCACACATAAATTCTCCAAATTGCTAATAAAATAAACAATTTAGCTAACGAAAAAAACGAAAAGGAATATACACACACACATGCGAGGGACAAAAGTCAAATAATGAAATTTCCATTTTCATTTTGTTGCATTCGTAACGGGCAATAAATATTTTCAGCATACGCTTTTATACGCAATTTGCACGCGCATACATCTCTTCTCACATCCTCACACGTCCTGTCATCCTGTCGCCCCTCTCTTTCGCTCCCCATCGTGCCGTCTCGTTCTGCCTTAACCCTTTCGACCGAAACACACACAAATACAGGGGGAATCCCAAAACAAAGGCGAAAGAAATGCGAAGCGCACACATAAACTTGTCTAATAAGAAAGGATCTGGAAACTGGCTCGAAGGATGCGGGATGGAGCAGGGGAGGGGGTGGAAAAGGGGTTCGGAGCGAGGAGGGGAACAGTATAGAGGAGGGGGGAGGTCGCAATGAGTGTGCCAATAAAATGAAATATAAAACTCCGCTCATTATCACATTGAGTAGGTAAAACTGAAACTACGTAAAAATTACAAAATATTTCTGACAAGATGGAAAGATAATTCAAATCACATTTCGTTCGATGAACTATAATAAAATTTAAACAAAATATTCGATATTCAGCTTGAATAAAACGCGTTTAAAATAATTGATTGATAATTGCTAGTAAATTTTATATTTTCCATTTTAAGGTTTTGATTCGTATATCATATACCACTTTTATAGATAATTCGCTGTTAAAATATTGATAACTAATTATGATTAATGCATATTTTAAAGAGATGAAGCTTAAATTTAACTCATTTTCTGTTTGAAAATGAAGCCTCCTTTGATTGTTTTATCTAGGCACTTCTTGGGGGCTCTTAACTCTTTTTTCCGAGATCTTGGGCCTACTTAATTGCCCTTTTGTCACTGCCGTTGATGTTGCTGCTGTTGATGGTGCTGCTGCTGCTGATGTTGCTGCCGTTCATGTTGCTCCTCACGATGTTGCTGCCGTGTAGTGGGCCCTTCTAAACTCTAATCTCTGACTGGGCCAGGCAACACGAACTTGGCCACTTGGCCGCGCATTCTTTCCATTCTGTTTTTATGGGCGAAGTGCCCTGCTTAAGTCTTCCACTCGACGCCTGCATTCTTCCAGAGGAAAAGTCGGCGGGAAAGGCGGAAAAGGCGGGGCAAATCCGGGAACCGGGGGCCAGCCACTTTTGAGCCATTTGCTGCGAGCAGATTGCAAGACAAGATTACACAAAAGCCAAGGAAAAAGCGAAGAAGAAGCCGAGAGACTGACAAGTAGGGCAATTTGCCTTGAAAAATGGGGGGGAAAGTCGGGGGAGTGGAAAGTGGGGCTGTTGCACCATCGTGTTGCACTTGTCATGGCTAAGATTTTAATTGGCATTTTTTCCCCCTCCGTGGCATTGTGTTACCCCCAGAATCCTTTTTCACGAGCGTGTCTAAGTTTTATTTGCTGGCCATGTCGAAAGGAAAGCCCCCAGAAAATTGTTCGGCTTAATTGAAACACGCAAGACAAACAAAATAACAGGAGATGTGTTAAAAAAAACACGCAGCACACATGTGTGAAGCGAAACCAATCGCAATTCACATCGCACCAGTTGACTGAATACGTGAATATGTCAGGGTGATAACGCGAAAGATGGGTTAACACACATCGGTAGGGGTGGCAAGGGGTTAAGAAACGGCCTCAGAACAAAACAAATTAGTCACAGAATCAATGAAGATATCACTTCCTGTGGAAAAGGGAATACCATAAATAGAAAAAGTAGGTTGCAAAATTGGATGTTAAAATGATCTGACAATGTTTAGAGAAGCTATGAGCCTTTAATTTTAATAAATATTTAAATATTCACCATACTCTAATACGAATCTATTTTCTTTTGCAAATCTTTTGCTTTTGTCCACTAATTTTAATGCAGATTTTAGGGATGCGTCCCTCCATCGACTTTGTCTGGAATTTATGCCGAAAATTCGTTTTGACATTGTCCGGCATTCGTCCCCGTCTAATTGCTCCTGTCTGACTCCTCCGGCTCCCTCCACCTTTAGCCTTCTCCGACCCTCCTGCCATCTCTTTCTGCTACCCTCTTGCCGTCTCTTTCGGACGGATTGCTGGATCCCTTGCTTTCTGTTCCTGTTCCTCGTAATTTGCGCACTCAATGGAAAATTGTTAATTAGATTCCTTGCTTGTCGTGTGACTGCTTCTTCTTCTTCGCCCCATTGTTTCGTCAGCAGCGGGAAAATCAACCCACTAGCACATCCCCCACCTCCCCCAAGCTCTTCTGGGTGGCAGTGTTTTAGCCAGCTTTGTGTCAAAGTTAGTTAACATGATTACCCCCTTTTCCAGAGTGTTGTCAACTATAGCTAAAGAAATCATGGGCTACGGAATACCCAAATGGTTGGGCATTTTTTGAAACTATCCCAATAATATTTTAATGTGGCTTTATTTAATGATGCAACAGAGGCTTGGCATATCTGTGAATTGAAGTTAATAACTGAATCAAGATCATTTCTGGCTCATTATACTATTAACATAATTAATCTCTTATTACATCAATGGTGTTACTGATATATGTATGTAAAATGTTTATAAATATTTGATATTTCTGACCTCGTACGAAGCGAAACTCAGCTTCAAAATAGCCAATTGCACAGCACAGCCGCTTAACCTTTTCTCGCCTGCCCCCTTTAAGCCTTTGGGCCCACTTTAAGCCACCTTTTCTTTCCGCTTCACCAACCCAAGCGAACTCAACGAACTTTAAGTGCAAAGCGTTTTTCGCCAGCAGCAGCAACAACACAATAAGCAAAAATAGTAATAACAACAACAAGAGTGGCACAATTTTTGCACTAAAACTTTTTGCTCTTTCACTTTTCGCCCGGCAGTAGTGAAATCTTGCATCGCTAACGAAGTGCAGGAAATAATGCGCCTGGAATGATAGCGAATGAGATAGATATAGGTTTAGAAACAGAGACATGGATATGTTTTGAGAAAGGGACAGCAAGAAGCGAAGAGTTCAAATTGAGATCATCAAGCTATGCTAAGGACATGGATTAATTTTTATCAAAATCAATGGTGCATCAAATAAAACTAGCTTTTTAGTCTTCGATTATTTTTATTGCACTTAGTTTTGTGGAGTAAAATTTACTATATTTTTCAAGTGATTTCAAATCTAAAAGGATATATGTGGCTGTAATTTTAGCTATAGTGCTGTGTATATGTGATATCTGTTGTATTTGCAAATATAATTCTACGACATAATCGCTTTCGAAATAAATATTTCATCCCATCATCTAGTAACTTTTCATCTAGCAATTGAAATTAACCTTCCGGCATCAAAAACCGAGTTATCAAAGCTGTTAATTGGAGCATTTACTGCTCCACTCACCGTAGCCCCTTTCTGATTTTTGCGTTTGTGGGTTCTGTTTGATTCCTCAAGCAAATAATTCAATTTCATTTCTAATTAGTACGAAAAAAGCGTACGAAAAATAAGCGAAAATCCGAATGGCAGTTCAGAGGACACCCGCACCCACAGCCATACACCCACACACTCACACACCCACACACATGCACAAAAACGCAGCCACTTTGGTGCTAATGCAAATTGCGAATTGCGAATGCCCCTTCAACGACGCCTCTGCCGCTGCCTCTGCCGACGGCGACTGCGCAGCTGCGCCGCTGTCGCGTTGCCAACAACTCAGCCACTTTATTAGCGTATTTTGCCATGCAACTGTTTATGCGACACACACACACACACCAGCACACGCACACGCACACCATCACACAGACGAGGAATTAGTCATTTTGTTGGTTACTTGATGCATAGCGAGGAAATGGGGGAAAATGGGTGGGGAAAGTGTGGAAAGGGGCGAAAATTGGGTGGAAAAGAGCAGGAGCTGCAGGGCCAGAGGGAAATTCACACAGCAAACATTTTTGGCCATTTTTATGGCGGTATCTTGAGCCTTTGCTTAAGTTTTGTCATATTTCTAGAAATTTGGGACCTCTTAAAAGGGTGTTTAAAAGTATGGAACAATGTATAGGGTTAAATTAACTGAAATTTTATTTCCTCTAAGACATGTATTTTATGGATTCTTTTTTTTACTAAACACGTTAATATTTTAAATGTCATGGCCAAAATGCCCACATTTTTCTCCCTGTAACTTTGACTGGGTAACAAAAATGATGCAGCTTACAAAATGAACAAGTCAGCGGTACACCATGGAATGAAACGGAAGGGGAAATGGGATGGAGATGGTGAGAATGTGAAAATTCAGGACGGGTGGGGAGCAACCGCCCCCCCCCCACACACACACACTTAAGAAGCGACAATATTTTTTATGCGCTTTTGAGCAAATTAGATTTCCTAATTAAATTTTCTAGTGAAATGCGCATAAATTTCATAAAATTCACTTGCCAGGCAAGAAAGAGAGGGAATACTTTCTTTGTGCCAAGAGTGAGTGAGAGCAAAAGAGAGGGGACGAACGGGAGAAAGGGATGGAAGAATGTTGTCGCCTTTCATTTGGCTGGCGACATTTTTTCTCTGGCATTTTCCCAGCTGACGTCGCCGACATCCTTTCGTCCTTCGTCCTGCGTACTTCGCCCTTCGTTGTCGTCTGCTTAAAGTAATTAACTAAGAAAATTTTAATTGCTAATATGTTGTGATGCATGTGTGTGTGCGTGTGTTGGTGTGCATGTTGGCACGCTGGCGGAGCTTTCAATGTGTGTGTATGAGCTCATTAAAAGCGAGAAAGGAAGTCGACGCCTACTTTTGTGCGTTCCCGAATCCACTGATTCCCGACTTTGAATTTGTATCATAATAGTAATTTTGATTTGGACACTTTCCAGAAGATAACTTTCAACTTTTAATAGAGGATTTAAAATTGGGAAGGGGAAAAACCTGGCTTTGAATAAAAAAGAAAGTAATCTTAGGCCAGCCAAAGCTAGATCGATTTTCCTGGTGATGCTGATCAATATAAATACTTTATAGGATCGAAACTGAAATTATAATACCATCTGCTAGGTATAAATAGAGCAGGGGGCTTAAATATATGCTGACCGTGAAATAAATACCCAATAATTGAGAGAAGCCTCGAAATGATTTCTTCCGAATTACCAGAACAATTAAATTTCCTTTTACATACCTTAAATTCTCCTAGTGAATTGCATTTTTGCCTGGTAATTCAAGATGCAATTTTCGGCCTTCATTACACGCATTTTCGCTGGCAGCTTCGGATATATTTTTCACGCACATTTAGTGGGAAAAACGGGCGGGAAGTGGAATGGTTAATGGGGATAAGGCTTCACTTAAACAACTCGTCAGCCACAACAGCCTGTTTCTACTTCATTTTTCATATCGAATTTCAATGCGAATGTTTATTTTCTGCCTCATTCTGACTGCACGAATGCGCCTCTGGCCGTGTGTGTGTGTTTTGTTTTCCCTACTTTTCCATACTTTTTCGTACTTTCCAAACTGTGGAGTGGTCCAGACCACTCGATCACCGAACTGTGCGTTTATGTTTTCCGGGTGCTTCAGGCCACAAGTTCGATTTGGCCAAAACACGGCTGCTTGGCAGCCCTCGAAGTCCTCGGCTTCTCAATTCGCCAAGTGGCTTCGATCCTGAGACTTCGACTCATCTCCAGTCCCCAGACTCATCAGCATCCTCAACTCATCTGTAGGCCGCTCAACTTTGTGTGCACACCGAGAGCAAAAATTGAAGAAATTAATACGAGATTTGTAGTAAAACATTGAAGTACATTTTGTTCACTTCAAAATACCCCTTTTTAGGCATTACGCTTCTAACTAATGCTTTAAGAATTGAAGTAGTTTTTTATATGTTCTTGTAAGACATATAAATCGGTAATTAAACAATTGAAAATGTCTTTGAAAATCTTTAAAATTTGTGTTTTGTTTAGTTTTATATATGTTCTTGTAAAACATATAAATCGGTATTTAAGCAATTAAAAATGTCTTTGAAAATCCTAAAAAAATTAAAAGTGTTTTGTTTAATTCGGTGGAGTTTTGTTTGAAATCAAACAAATATTTTGAAATGCGTTTCTCGGTGCAGAAACTTCAGTGCCACTCATCGGCAACTCAAATCGCGCCTGTCAACGCCTGTCAGCTCCTTCCTTCGACCCGAATCCCCATCCAGTGCCATCCTCCTTCGGCGCTTTCACTTTCCCCGCTTTTCCACGGCCTTCTCAAGTGGGGTTTTCCTTGGAACAAAAGATGATGTGTGCGACAACCACAAAAAAAACGAGAAATAAACGACAGACAAGTGGGAAACTAGATACAATTATTAAATATTAAAATAACAAACCACTAAAACCACTTCAAGTCGCGCTTCAGCGCCATGTGTTTTCCGGCATCGGGTCGTGGGATTCTCGTCAACTAATTTGACAAGAATATATATAGTAATGTATAAAGGCGGCGAAGGCACCCGAAAGTCGAAAATGGGAACGCAGATTAAATAAGAAATGGTGTTTTTGAAAACGAACATAGAGTTACGGCAGGGCTTTACAATTAATGATAGTCTGTTTCTTTAAAGGACAAAACCTGAGATTTAAATCAATAAAAAGGAAAATAAAATTAAAAATTATGCTATAAAAACAGTTTTGAACACCAAATACTGAGAACAAGGATTATAAAATTTAGAAGCATAAACAACTAATGTTTTTAACACAATTATATTAACCCGAACGAACCTTTTCAGGCTCGCTGGCGCCCAAGGACTTTGGCATGGATGGGCTGAATGGTTTTGGAGTGGGTCCCAATGGCAAAAAGAAGAAAAAGAAGCGACGGCACAGCCGCACCATATTCACCAGTTACCAACTGGAGAAACTGGAGGAGGCCTTCAAGGAAGCCCATTATCCCGACGTGTATGCCCGGGAGATGCTGTCCCTGAAGACGGAGCTGCCCGAGGATCGCATACAGGTGAGTCAGCCCATCAGGTAATCCGATATGTGGGCATTGTCTCAGTCCCTCCATCCCAGGCATATTTTATTCCGCAGTCCGCATTATTCCCCTAATGAATTAACGAACTAATTACATCCGCCGCGTAGGTGTTTGCTGTTGGCAAAACAAAAACTAGGCCAAAGGAATTTGCATTTCCCCTCGAACCAGCAGAGATCCTTTGTCTTTTGGTTTCTCATCTGCTTGTTTGGATGTCTCCGTTCTGATTTTTCACACCTCCTTCAATTTGTGTGTGTGCAGCGTCATCATCAACCAGCAATCAGGAGCAGCATCTCGAGTGCAGCTCCTCTGACTTCAGCTCTTCTTCTCTATAGAGTATAAAATGCAAATCATATCTTACAAAATCAGGGATGACATTAACTAGTACTTTCAAAAATAAATATTCTGGCTTGACAATCGATGAACTGAAAACAATTTTCCTATTTATTTATTTATTTTGACTCAAATTAATCAGCATTTGAAAAGCAGCCTATCCTATCCTTAAACATTTTAAAAAGGACTTGGAACAATTTCGTGAATCGGTATTTAATTGAATTTTAAAGAACAATGTGATATATGCATAGGTAAAAGTGTGCACAGCATTGCGAACAACGCAAAATCCGGAAATCATTTAACGTCCGCTTCACGCTGGGCAAGTGAGACGGCAATAGGGTGTGAGGGAGATGGCATGGGGAAAAAACGTAGAAAATTTCAGCAACGTTTGCGAATTTATAATTAAGCATTTTAATGGCCGTTATTGTTCTAAGTCCCTGGACCGCGGGAGCGAGCGAGACGGGAAATACCCCATCGGTATGTCTCTATGTGTGTGTGTGTGTGTGTGTGTGAGGGAGTATCTGTGTGCGCGCTTCCATCGAGTGAACTTCAGTTGAGTCAAATTGCCACCCTTAAAAGGCAAACCCAAAAACGCCTGTGTGTGCGTGTGTGTTTAATTAGCACTGAAAAAAAGCGTAATTATGGCGCAATTCCTTGGCGAAAGTCCCCTTTTTTTAACCACTCACTCGCTATAAGTTCTGCCTGGTCGAACGGATGGAATCGAACTCGGTTTTTGGGGGCTTTCTACTGAATTGCTAATGGCAGGCTCTTCAAGGATCCGGGGCACTTAAAAACACGCATGTGTTCGTGTACTTTCAGGAAGGCTTACCAAAAATCAACAGATTAAGTTTAGTATTACCGAATGGTATTAGCTTATAGGCCAATTAATCTTCTGAGCTTATATTTTTCTGTGATCGCTGCTAATTAAAACATATCGCAGTCACGCAATTAACCCACTGATGCCCCCGGGTAATCACTCGCTCATCCACTCACATTTCAACTGGCATTCTGCAGTTGAAATTGAATTTCGAGTGTGTAAAATTTTCCAATTATAGACTTTGGAGAAGGACACCCATACCCATACCCACACCCACACTCACACCCACAACCACACTCGCACTTGTGTTGGTGCAGGACTGTATATATATGTAGAGCACTTGGAAGGAGCTTAAGCTTTGGGATTGGGTTCTCGGGATCGAGATTGCTTGGGGGCACATGAAGCGTTGCTAAAAGCGAGTCCAATTAGTAGCATTACTACTAACACTTCAATTCTGGCCACTAGAGCCCCCTCCCCCCCCCCCGCCCTTTCGGGGTTTTCCGTCTCTCTCCAACTTGGCAATAACGGCAATAGTCAACAAAAACAACAAGGAGCCAGGAGCGAAGGACAACTGAAGTGAAGCAATGGCGCCAAAGTACGGCCATTTTGTGTGCACAGCTGTGTTGGTGGGGAAAATGGCTGGAAAATGGGTGGAAAATGCGGGGTCAGAAGGGGTGTGGAAATCCAGGGCTTCGAATTGTGGGCGCTACGATAGTTGTACATCAGTTAGTGGGAGTGGCAGAAGCGTAAATTTGCATTTAACGTTGTTTGCGGTGCCCACAAATGGAGTCTATCTTTGTCTGTTCCTGTCCCTTTCACTCCCCCTCGTTCTCTCTCTCCCTTTCCCCCACCCCACCTAAGTGTGGGTGTGTGTGTGTGTGAGGGGCAAGGACTCAACAGTTAGACGGCCACAAAATACTTGGAAAGACCGAAACAACCGCAAAACGATGCACAAGTACAAGAACGATGAGAGGAGCCACGACCCCACCAATACAGGCGAATGTGCACTGAAAAATGTATTATATATATATTTTAGAGTGAGAATAATTTTAAACCGTAATATCTTATGTGAATGGGTTAATTTGTGATGTATTTAAGCTCTTTAACACATAAATTTTAATCATTTGCTGTTGATTAAGTCTACATAAAACATTCAATAGTGATTTTATTGCTCTTGATAAAATTATACACAACTTCCACGTAATTCTAAAAGTATTTCTAGGCACAGTAAGTTGTTTTCAGTGCATCGCATCACACACACACACACACACTTACACACGCCCAGGCAGACAGCGTCATTGACAATAACAGGACTATTTGCACCAAAAAAGCTTTAGAATTTTGCTTTTTCGGGATGAAAGCATCGGCGCCCGAAAAACTAACAACACACGTAACACATACATAAACAAACAGAAGCACACACCCCCCTCCCCCAGCGCCCACCCACACATAGATACTTCACACGCACACACACACACACTGCCAAAGTAGGATCGTCGAATACGCTGCATATTTTCAGGCACTTAAGCTATTTTCATGAAATGTGCACACACAGACACATATGCAGATTACCCTGACAGCACAGCCACACCCACTTTTGCGCCCCCTTAACCCCACATTGCCCACCTTAGCCTGGCCCGGGTTAAAAAAGGAAACTACGACTACAAGTACACACTCCGTATTGATTTTAATTGAAAAATTGTTAATTTTCCATGCCAGTAGCAGCAGCACCGACTGCCACGCCCACCCGTATTCCACCGCCCACTTTTTCCAGGCCCGCCTTTCCCCGCATTTCCCGTCTTCGCCACGAACTTTTCCTCAACTTTTCGCTTCGAGCAAAAACAGACGAACTTGAAGTGAACTTTTTGTGCTGCCAATTTTCGCCTGTGTGTGTGTGTGCGTGAGTGTTTGCCCATGTATTAGTGAGTGCCTGAGAGTGTGTGTGTGAGTGTGTCTGTGTATGCATTGCTGATTCTGCTCTGTTTTGTGTCTGGGTAATTACACGTTTCTGTGTGAATAAATTTCCAACCCAGCACAGTTTCGAGGCGGAATTATTCATTCGCTTTTTGAGTTGACTTTGAAAGCCCTTGATGGGGTTTTAACCGCCCTATAGCGACTCATATAGAACCACTCGGATGGCAGCGAGGTTTTGCTTTTTACTTAAGATCGAACTACAATTGCTTAACTCTAAATCGTTCACTATTCAGTTGATTCCCACTTCGTATGGAAACACCCAGAAAAATAGTTAACTAATTTGTGTACCAAACCAAAACTACATCAGTGGAAGAGATTATTTTACTTTTACCTATATAAGCTGTACAAATAAATGTTATTCCGTGCAAAAGTAATACAAATAGATAATAAATGTAAGAATTATTCGACTAGTCTACTTAAGCTTTCAAACATTTTAACACTTAAGTTTTTAAAACACTTAAAACTTATATACAAAATGTAGTGAGGTTGTAAAAATGGGTAAAAATGCATATTCTCGGGGTGATATTTGTTATATTAGCTAAAAGAATTTATATGTTTATTTCTCTGGTGACAATTAGTGGGTGTATCTTGGGGTTCTCTGATTTTTCTCCCAGTGTGCTGTTTTCATACAGTGTTCAGTGTGGGCCGTCTTGGAAGTTCTACGAAACTAATTTACTGGAGTGTCGACGCGTCCGAGTGAACAATGTCTCGATAGAGAGGGGCCGCCGAATGGAAATGGATGCGAGTTGGCCCCAAATCGTGGATTGTGGAGTCATTGGAGTAGGCACAGTCCTCCGATTGGCAGACGACCAGATCCGCGGGACTCTGGCCTGGGAACCCGACAAGAAACCAGACTTGTGGCAGACAGCTCGACTGGCCGATGCTGCCACTTGACGCAGCACCGTCTGCGTCGCCGGCGATCGAGTTACCGCCAGTGCTGGCCAAAGAGCCCCGAAAGTAGCCAACTCAGGTATAAGATACCTGGGATTTATTAAAGCTAGCTAGAAAATAACACAACCCCGTTTCCGCATACTAAAAAACAAGTTATTCAGTGTCGCCCTTATAATTTTAGAGATTTTAGGTCACCAAAAAAGGACTGAATAAAAATTACATTGTTAGATTTTTGAAGCTTTTATATTTTTTAACATATAACAAAACGGGCTGAAGACAGTCAAAAAGTCAACTAGGCAACTCTGGTTACCTACCTCAGCTCCCATTTCGCTGCATTCTTCGTTCTCCAGTCTTCGCCAGGGATTCTCGCCTTTTTCTCATGATCGTGAAACTTCTTCATTTTGTTGACTCTGCGCCGAGTACCAATTCGTTTAAAATGGTATCAGTTCCAAGAAAAATATTATTTTTTCATAATTTCTGGAGTGCCTTAATCTGTTCCCTGCAGTTCGATGTGCATAATCACGACGATCGGGCGAGTACCCCGTTTTTTTTTTTTTTTTTTTTTCAGGGCTTCTTGAGTGAAAACAGGCTGTCTGGAGTGTTGGATCGTAGAGCCCCTTAACCCCTCGTCGCCCCTCGGGGTGTTGACGTGCCCCGCTGCACAAAATGAAACGTCAATTTCAAGAGTTTTTCCTGGTAATAATTAGTAGCTGAGGTGGGCATTTAAATACTCGTCGTCTTCCATTTTTCTCCACTGGTTCTACCAGCCCCCCACCATGGGCTTATTCTGCGTATTCGTGTATAAAAATACTCGCCCAGCAGCCGAATAATAATGCATATAATTGCATTTTAAGTAGTTGCTGCCTGGAGTATTGTGTTACCTTCGAGCTCATGTCAACCCTGACATCGTATGCCTATGCCTGGTATTTTTTGTTTTATTTCTTTTTCGGGCCTGGGATGAGTGTAT